CATCATGATGCTGCTTGCATCATCATGATTCTTTCTCCTGTAGTTGAACAGGTTAAAGTGCTGCTAGCCTTGCCGTGATGTCTCGGTGCTCGCATCGTGCTTTTGGTGTTGCAATGACGCTGCCTACAAGATTATGATGATGCCTGCCGCATCATGATGCTGCCTGCCTCATCCTGATGCTGCCCGCATCATCATGATGCCTTATGGTTGAAGCGCTGCCTACCTTGCCGCGATATTTTTGGTGCTCGTGTCATGCTTTTGGCACTGCGGGCATCGCTATGATGCTGCCTGCTTCATCATGATGCTGCCTGCATCATCATGATGCTGCCTGCATCATCATGATGCTGCCTGCATCATCATGATGCTGCCTGCATCATCATGATGCTGCCTGCGTCATCATCACGATGCTTTCTTTTGTAGTTAAAGCGCTGCTTACCTTGGCGTGATGTTTCGGTGCTTGTATCATGCTTTTCGCGTGGCCGGCATTCTCATGATGCTGCCTCGAGACCATGATGATGCCTGCAGTATCATGATGCTGCCTGCGTCATCATGATGCTGCGCGCATCATCATGATGCGTCCTTCTGTAGCTGAAGTGCTGCCTTCCTTACCGCGATGTTTTTCGGGCTTGTATGCCGGCATCACTATGATGCTGCCTGCTTTATCATGAAGCTGCCTGCATCATTATGATTTTTCTTCTGTAGTTAAAGTGCTGCTGACCTTACCGTGATGTTTCGGACAATTTGCTCTGGACAATTTGCTATGTTCTGAATGCTACTCTCCTTTTGCAACTTTCATGTCAGGTTCCCTGGAAAGTATATGCCCGAACTTGACTGATCAGAGTCTTGCTCGAAGACCGGGCAAACCCAGCATCTTGCATGTGTCACGCTGCGCTGGTGTCGACCTGTTTTATGCTATCTGGGGTCTATTATGGTTTAATTTTTGACGCAGGTATTCCAAGAGCAAGCCTACCCTCCTTCGTGCGCTCACCGGCATGCACCAGCACAACATACGGGCTTCAGATGATGTGCCTAGGTAGCACCGTTGCGATATCTTTGCACACGCTGCCTGCGCTGCATTCGGCCCAGGTGTGGTTTTCGCTTTTGCGCCGCGAGATTTCTCGGTGGATATCGTGGGCGGCAACGCCAGTCCTCATAGCGCAGATGGCAGCTTGCTCTCACACTCGCTTTGGTCCGTTTGATTGCATGCGCTGCCCATGTCTTTAGCTGGCCGGAAGTCACTCGCGCAGTTGGCCAGGTATCACTATGTAGTGCCTACAGTCATCGCAGTGTGCTTGAAGCTTTGGCATCCGCTCAATCACTGCTGGATCTCCCAATTGCGGCAGACAGGACGCCCTTTTTGCTTTCATATGCAGCAGAGAGATGCCGCAGGACTGCTCCTGCCAATTTCCGTGCAACCAGGGACTGGCTGCAGAAACTTGCTGCGAAGGCCCGACGGATACTGCACGAGGCTGGCTCATCGCTGCACTTTTCGTTCTTGCAGGGAATGGTGTATTCTCCGAGATTCATGCTTGCTCGGCACAACGCCAACAATGCATCAGCCTGAATTTAAGCGTGCAAGATGGCATCCACTCACCTTAGACCGACCGCCAAGGTCACTGAACAGGCAGGGATGGTGCTCAGCCGCGACTCTGCTGAGTGGCTGCTGGACACAGACTCAGCCAGTGAGCGTGCTCAGGCACGAGGCTTGGTCTGACTTGCTGCGGCGTTCCATGCACGGCGCAGGTGTTGTCCAAGCTGCGCGGCTACGGTGACTTCCAGACTCTGAATTTCCTCACCATATTGCATCAATGCGGGCAGGCATTTCCAGAGCTTCGTTTGTTTTGCCTGCGCAGCATGGCGGCCAAGCAGCGCCATAGTGGGGAAGGGATTGTAAACGGCTGATGCCAGCCATTCATTAGTCGGGCAGCTCTATTTTGGAGCCGTGAGCGCGGGCTGGGAACCGCAGTGTTTTAGGCAATGGTTTAGGCGCGCAGCTCATTTCGACTTGATGACGGGGCTTCCGAAGGGTCCATGTTTGTTTGTGTCAGGCGCGCAGCTGAAACACCACTGTCAACACAGCATCGGTTCCGGCACAGGAGGGAACGCAGCTCTGGGTGTGATTACGGGCACCCGCAAGATGCCAATCCGAGGTACCCTCGAAGATCTGCCAAACGGACCGGGAGCCGGATGCTAGCTCATGTGTGCACTTTGTGTTGCCACAATTGGCCACTTCAGGCCGACTGTATGCTGAAAACTGCCAAGACGACGCGCAAAGAATTCATGGAGCGAGTTTTGGAGATTATGCCTTGGCACATCACTGCCAACAACATCCGGCCAGTACCTATGTGGTGCGACAGTCAGGTTGGTGAGCATTCCGGCGCAGGTTTCACATCACAGACTTGGACGACGCTATTTGCCAGTTCAATCTGTGTGCGGCCGCCGCCTTACTCGGTTTGTAGTTGGCACATGTCTTTTCATGCTTTTCAGCCGAGTTGAAGCGAAATATGCAGTTTCTGCATTCCGCCAAAATCCCACATCATCTTCGGCGCAATGAGCCTCTGCTCGCACTGTGCTCCTTGCCACTGGCCATTGCTCAAGATCTGGGCTCAGGACAAAGTGTATGCTGCCTGAGCTATCAGATTCGCACCTTCCCTGATCTCGTGGCAGGCGGGCAACTTAGCGATCATGTGGTGCACGCAAAGTGTTTTTGTCCCCCATGCTGCTTGCTTGTGAGAGCAAACCTGACCGCGGCCAGGCGTAGTAGCCCGATTGACAGCGCGTTGAGTTTCATGTGCATCTGCAGACCAGAAAGCAGCTTGTGTGTTCGAGTGGCTGTGGGGGGGGGGGGGGGCAGGGCGGCCAATAAAACCGCAAACTAATGACAAAGAGGATTTCCTTGTCATCAAAGCTTTTAGGTACGGCGTTTGTACGTGTGACACCGGGTCAGATGGCCCACAGCTTTTGTTGTGCTTCATGCGAGACATCTGGCAAAGTGTTGGATTCGCCAACGCGCACCACAAGGGCCGCCGGCCACCAGTGACACTAAGATGAACCAAAAGCGTGATCACGTGCGAGCCAGCTTGACAGCAGAACCGCAGTGCCATATGAGGCCCTGTATACTGAGATTTTGGTGCGGGCCCGGGCCAGTCTCCGAGATAAGCTTCATCGCGCAACGCGCTCCGAACTCCGATGCCTTGTGCAACAACAAGCGTGCGAGCCAAATCCTTTTGTCTGGCGCAGTAATTTGGAAGGGCGTTAGCGCAGCTCGTCAAAATACCACCGAGAGTGCTCGGCCAGCGAAAATGTGGCGGGGTCACCTGGACAGGCGACGCCTTGTCGGCAATGCTCATGGTTTTTGGTCCATGGCCGACGCCGAGCATTAGTGGAGAGAAACGGGGCAACCTGTCCTCTTACTTTCAGAGCACGCCCGCGCCATTCTTCGCCAAGAGGGGGCCACACAGGACCCGTCAACGACCTTCGAGCAAGATCAGGCGCTTCGGAAAACCCCGCTTGAGAGTCACTTGGGGTCGGTCCAGGAGCAGCTACCCACACACACATACATACACAGAATGAACAAGAAGCATCAGATCCAACAATGACAAAAACACCATAGGAACCATAGAGCAGACCATATACATTGGTAAGCAACGCCCTTTGCGAAATCTGGGGGTGGAGGGGCCGCTGCCTCCCACACACACGCCCCGCATTGCAGTGCGCTTCCGGTATGTAACCTGCGCTCTTCTTGAGAATGGGGGTGGCCTGCGGATGCCGTTTGGTTCCATAGGTAGCCGGCCTTTGGGTGCTTTTGCGGACAGGTTATAGGCTTCTTGCGTAAACAGCTCCCTTACCTGTGGCCCGCACGCGGGCGTCAGATACACCCCGAGCCTACACCTAGCTGTTAGGGATTTGCCCTTGACAGATAGTCCGTCGTGTGGCCACACGTCGATCAGATACTCGCAGGGGCTGTTTTGCCTGTAGCCCGCATGCGGCCGCCAGGTAACTAGGGGCGCGCGCGACCAGATGGTGCTAAGTGCTTAGAGCTTAGAGGCCCAGTTTCATGGTGCGCTTTCGGGCGCGAGGTCATTGCACGGCACTGACAGGCACAGAAAACAGACAAAGCAGACAAACACACGGATATTACCTGCTGACAGTCTGAGCGCGGTGCTTGATGCGTGTTCGTGGTGTAATTAGCTTGCTCGGCATCCCACAGGCCAGGTATAGAGGGCCGCCGTCCCGGGTTGAAAGTAAGATGCAGCGCGTTTGCGTAGAAACTGCCGGCGTCCAGGCTTGCCAGCTGGGACGTAGTGATGAGTTGTTCGACTCTGCGGGTGAGGGGTTTGCAGCTGGCGGGAGGTCGGACCGGTCGTGCGTGCGAGCGGGGCGTAGCACGTGTCGTAAGGTGCAGGTACACCACGCGCGTCCTGACAGCTCCTAAGCCGCCCATATGAGGAACAGGCGCGTGCTCGTAGGGTGCTTGATGCCCGCGACGGCTCGAGGCACGTGCTCGTCCAGTCACTTGCGTCCGCAGTCGGGCGCGAACTATGTGGCATGCGATGCGTGCTGCCTTTCATGAGTTGTCTCACATGAGCCGCTCGGGGTTGGGGGGCAGGGCCAGGCCTGAGATCAACATTGGTTACACGCAGGCTTGCGCAGCCTTTTGTGTCCGCAGTCATGGTAGCTTGCAGGTGTTCGCGGGGTTGAGCTGCATGTGTGAACAAGCAGGTCAGCGAGTGCGTGCCATGGTGCCTTTAATGGAGGACCGGCGTCAGCTTGAACAGCACAGTTAGGCCGCAAAGCACGCGCGTGTGCTTCTAGCAGAGCTCAGAGTGCAGGACGATCCATGCTTTCCAGCGCTGATGTGATTGTCGAATTGTTCGACTCTTTCGAGGCAGGAGGACGGGTTGCAACACGGGGCATGCTGCTGTTTTGCCCACGTGTGCTTGACAGTCAATACGTGAGACCTTGAGCTTGTGTGTTCGCATCCAAACTAAATATCGGCCATGGCAAGTGCCCTTGACAAGCGCAGTGCCCTGCGTGCGCGGAGCCGCAGTTTTTGCTCAGCCTGCTGCCATCCCACCGCACCGACTTTGGATGTCGCCCAAAAAGAAGGCGCTTGCCTTGACAGCTGCGCCGCAGCCCAATCCCAAGCGGCAAAAGGGTGGCACGGCGAAGTCGAGCCCTGAGCAGGATCCTGCTCCCTTCAGTGACAGCCCGACCGTGAAGCAGCTTCGAGCTGACTATGCGCTGCTGCGCCCTTACTTGCAGGCATCGGAACCTCCACTGCCGTGGTCTGGCATCGGAGCTTATGAGGACAATGAGTGCAAAAGCCAGCTGCAGTCGTCGGGGCGCTATGAGTGCACGCTGGGGGTGAATTGGGTGCCTGAACTTCCATTCCTGCATTCTTTTGCCCCAGCCTGGGGGCAGGTTCAACGGACAGTGGACCTTTGGAAAGCCGACATGACAGTGGAGGAGGACGGCCAGGTCGTGCTCACTTGGCCGGCGGTCATTGCGCTTCAAGCGCAAGAGGGCTGTCGACCCACACCAGGGGATGTCAAGCTTCTCTCCAACGAGAATGTCTTCCTCTCGCGCCTTGTTTGCAATGACTCCCCCGTGATTAGGCGCCTGTACCTAGAAACCAAGCGGCGCCTGCTTCATGCTGAGGTTTTTGCACCTGTGGGCAGAGGCTGTGCGGAATGCAGAGCACAATTTGATCGCGGCGTGCCGAGTTGCAGCTCGACGGATGCGAGTCTCCTTCCTGTTGATGAAGTCGGCAGAGGACGCCGAAAAGGCGAAATGGCGCCTAGAGAGCTCGACTCACGGAGTTGCTTCCACCCAAACGTTGCGAGGGTGGAAAAGGATATGCGGCTACGTGGAGGTGAGAAACCGGCTTGCTGCCCAGCATGTGGATAGCTCTCCCGACAAGGTGTCGTGCTGGCTTCATGCTGCAGGCGTGGACGTGAAGCAGAAGACTCTGAGCGGCCTTTTCCGGGCCTACGATCGGCTTCAGGCCGCCAAAGGTTGCCTGGTCCTGCTGGAAGAGATGGACAGTCGTTTCGGGCAAGACCACTTCTACTCCAACTCCGGGGTCCTCACAATGTTGTGCGAGCGCACAGCTTGCCCTCGCAACCCTACGCTGCAGGCCGACCTCCTGCTTTGGGCCGTATCATGCTTAGCATATCGCTGCACACAGCCCGCAGATGGCAGAGTGGCGGCCCTGTCGCCCACCACATCTCGCGCCACTCGGCAGCAGCTGGATCTCACATGGGTCTGTGTTTTTTTCAGTCCTTCTAAGCAGCGCTGCTTCATCCCCAATTGCTTTGGCAAGGAAGCGCTGACAAAGCAAGTTGGGGTGGAGTTGGCGCAGCGCCGGGTGATCCAATACCTCAGCGGCAAGATGCAGCGGAGAGGAAGCGGCAGCAAGGTCGTGTTGGCAAATTACTTCGTCAACTTCCAGGATTGGCAGAGCCGTTCGCCCGCGCAGCGGGCCCAAATCCTCAAGCAGCTGGACCCCTCTGAGATTGCGGTTTACAGTTTTATGGAGCAAATGCTGTTGGGCAACATCGCAATTCACCAGATTGTGTCCCAGGCGGTGGCCGAGCACTACCTTGTGCCGGCGGAGGTGCTGCTGCAGAAGCCGGCGTGGAAAGAAGACAGCATTCTGGACCTGGACGTGCTTTGCGCTGACCCTGAGCCTGCAGAGGTTCTTCTTGCAGCAGCCGAAGCGGCTACGCCGCAGCCAGTGCAGCCAGAGGAGTCCAGGCAGGGAGAGCCCGACCCAGCGCAGGAGGAGGACCTGCCCGAGATGCCTGACGCCGCTTCTGCAGAGCAGCCTTTGGCCCCCACTAGAGGTTCGTTCTTCGAGACTTTGGCGGTGCCGAGCTGGCTGGAGGATCTGTTGTGCAAAGCGTCTTTGGCTGCCTTCGAGGCTGCCTACCATCACGCAAAGATGTGCGCCGGACTTAGTGAACTTGCGCATGTCACGGGCTGTGGCCAGACTAGCGTTGAGTTTCGGGATTGTTTGCGCACTGCATCATGCCAGTTGCCCGAGGCGCAGAGAGCAACATCGATTTGAGGGTCGTGCATGACCTGCCCACACAAGTGCGAGAGACGCTGAAAGAGACGGAAGATGCTTGTTTTTTCCTGATCGACCCCAAGTGCTCGTACAACCCTCATGGTCTCGCCCGGGTTTGTTGCGGGGAGCAACACATCTACCGGCAGGTGACCAGCGCCTTGTCCGACGCCGCGCGCGCAAAGGACGGGTTCGCACTGTGGGACGCGAGAAGCGTTAAGACATCCAAGTACCTTCAGACGTTCATCAAAGCAGGGGTGACTGAGAAGCATTGGCGCCAACGAGGTGTTTGCACCGTACGGCTCCTCCATCACAACAGGGAGTGGGATCCAGAGTGCAGGGACAGCAGGGACTGCGTCCGTCAGCGAAAGGCCCGTGCAGGCAAGTCGGTGAACACATCGACCAGCCCTGACCCACTGGAGTCCTTGCTGCTGGTGGGCAGCGCCGAGTTCTGGGATTCCCTCCCACGGAGGGAGAGGAAGTACGTGGACCTTCCGGGGCATAGCGGAAGTCTTGGGTGGACCCGTTTGTCATTGCGGAGTGCTTCAGACAGAGATGCGAATTGCATCTTGCCTCTCACGAAGAGCTTGATTTGGACAGGAGCTCCTGGTCTGAGCGAGGCATATGCAGACGAGGCCCCGGACGGGGACGAGATCGTGCAAGCAGTCCCAGACGAAGCCAGTCCGGTATCCCTTTGCGAGTGGGAGTCGCCAGAAGAGCTGTACGCGGAAGTAATGCACTGCTACATGCCCGACAAGTCAAGGCTGGTCGATATCCTGCCCGGCAGCGGGATGAAGGCTGTGGCTGCAGCCCGCATGGGCAAGAGCTACGTTGGCTTCGTCCGGTCTGCGCTTCACGCAGCTCTCATTCGAGAGACAGTAGCTTGGATGCATTCGGCGCGTTGGTCACGGTTGTTGTGGCTGCGCTGCCCGGCTTTGTTAACTTCAGTTGCGCGCGAGGTGGTAATGGCCCAGTTGATTGACATAATGAGTGGCAAGCCGTGCGGATTTCCCGGACGCCGCCGCCGATCTCTTGTACGTGAAGCTAGCTTGGGGGGCGAGCGCTCCGAGGGTGACATTGAGGAGACGCCTCACGAGGCTGCCCAGGCTGAGGCTGGAGACAATGAGGGAGCGGGCGAGGCGCCCAGCAGCCCTGAATCTGACCCGTGAGCTTGTACGCGCTGCTGGCGCCACGCAGTGGTGGACGCTGCTAGTGGACAGATTTTGTTCCTGCCAGCATTTTTGAATCATTTGCCATGTCGGCGCCAGTTTTCCTTCCAGTCATACATGCACCAAGAGCGCGCGATGTGCCAACAGGGCGCGCTGAAAGCAGCCAGTGGGGTCCACATGCCACACTTGACCGCATGTGCAGCATGTGCTTTGGGAAGAGCTGTGAGGCGCAGATGGCTCATGACTTCAAGACTTCCTCCACCCCGACACGATGCTAGCTGGGCCGAGGCCTGCAGTGCGGTTGCATTACTTTCAAGCACTTCAGCACTTGCAGAGCGTCAGGAGTGGTGAGCAAGGACAATGCACTTGCGTCAGCTAGTTCTCTTTGCTCGGAATTTCTGCTTGGCTGACCACGCCCAAGGCCAGCGTGTGGTCCGTGCTTTCCGTTTAGGCTAGACGGCCAAGTGCTCCCAACATTGATCCAGATTGCGAAATTAAACCATGGCCGATTGCCCATTGGAGCCAGTGCTCCAGCGCAAGCGGTGCGCGGCGTGCGGCATGCCCTGTCCAAACTTGTGGCCCACAAGGCCATTTCCGGAAAATCATGACTTTTCGCTTTTTTTCCGGAAACTCTGGGAAGGGCGCCATTCTGAAGCAGGCGTGGAACTAGGGCATGCATGAAACCTGTGCAGCTTGCCAAAACAGCCGCGGTCACGAGCTGTCCTAAGCTTGCGGCGGGCGCGTTTGTGCTTCCACCGTTTTTTTTTTTCATGCGCTTGCTTGTGTTGCACTTGCGGCTCACATGAGGTTACATTTCATATGCTCTGGACACGGACGGGCCAAAATGGACAAAAGGTTCAGACAAGGCAATCAGAAGTGATCTCGGAATCCGCAAGCAACCTAGCTGCAGACACAAACCAAAGGTTGATGCACGATCACGAGCTTGTATTTGCAGCCCGAACAGCACTGTTCGCGCAGTCCGAGACACGGAGAGCGCCATGGTGCGCGGCCGCCCTGTGGATGGGAACGCCTACGCTTTGCTGACGAAGGGCACGGGGGGAGTGCCTGCTCTTGGCGAAGCAGAGCACGCAGCAGGTTGCTTGAAAAGCCATGGCAGCGTGCCCTGTTTGCAGTTGATGTGTCCTCATGATCTTTTTAGGCGCGCGTCTTCAAATTGACTTGAGAAAGGCGTGTGCTCACGCAGTGCATTTCACTCTGACGCAGGTAGGCTTGTGGCAATGCTGTTTTGCAGCGGGTTCTTGCAGTGAGGTAGCAAGCGCCTTGAAGCATTGTAGCAGATGCCGATGGCTGCGGCATCGGAGAACTTGGCAGGGCCGCTGTGTTTACGAGGCTCCGGATGGTGTATTTCGACCATGGCTCCTGGAGGTTGGATCTGATGCTGGATGGGGCTTGTGCTGCAGCCTTTGCAAGACAGCCCACCCAGACAGCTTGTCCCCATACGTCCGAGGTGTGAAGGGAAGTCAAGGAAAAGAGACCAAGGCCGCGAAGTCCACGTTGCAGATCGCTGACCTGCTCGCCCACATGCAGTCGCACGAGCACATTGCGGCAGTGCAAGGGAACTTGAGGCAAGCCAGCGTTGCAGATCAGCCACCTGCCAAGCGGCTGAAGTCTGACGCCTGCTTCCCAGCCCCTGGCCAGCTGCATCTCAGCCGCGAGGTGCTGCAGAGTGCCTTCGGCGCACAAGGTGCCGAATACGAACGCCGACATGCACTAGTGCATAGAAGTGATACCGTGAACTTCCCGAAAACTCATGGAACAGCTACACAGCATCCTCGGCATGTGGCGGCGATGGCCTCGGTGGCTTTTGAGCAAGACCTTCAGCTCTTGCGGAGGAAGCAGGTGAAGTCGATTTGCTGGTCTGAAGATGCTTCAGAAGGCTTCTTGCTGGTGAAAGCTCGGTACCTCTTGCATGATTGGTCTACGCAATGCCGCATAGTATCCTTGGACCCCATTGGCAGCAAGACCTCCCTGGCGAAGTCCAGGGCTGCCGAGACCACTATCGGCAAAATGTGCGGAAGCGCGGAGCTGGCCCAAGAGTTCCGCAAATTGGTCAAGGCTGGTCGCGCTTGCTACGCGTTTGCTCAGCTGCGTTGGCATGTCGACGCTTGGGAGAAGTCGCATGATCGTGGGAACCCCGCTGGTTGCCAGGTCAGGGTCAGAACGCGAATTTCGCATTTAATCGGAAATCATGTAGGCAGCCTCCAGCGAGTGATGGCCCAAAAACACGCAGCGGCCGCCATGGAGTGCGTAGCCCTGCCAGGTATGGAGCAGCGACGGCGAACCCGCAGAAGTATGCGCAGGCCAGCTGTGCCAGGCCACGGCAGTCTTTCCAAATCTCTTGTTCACGTGGCGATGTTTTCTCCATTCGTCACAACGCACGATGGAGACTTGCCTGTCATCTGACGACAGAGTGGCATTCTTGGTCCAGAAACTGGTGCTGGAGTTTTCCGACGGTCCAGGCCAACACGGCGGATTGGGCAGAGCGTTAAAGACTAGCACCAACATCCGTTCCCGCTTCAGGGCTTGTGAGCTGCGAGACATGCACACGCTTGCTGAACTTACGCCGGGGGCATAGCAGGTTGCAGTCATTGCGTGTCTCATTATGTGCTCACACTGAGGGGGTCAACCTCAAGCATGGGCTTTGCCGCTCAACGTTTCACCACGGTTGCGGATGTATTCCGGCTTCTGTCTGTGCGCGTGTCGGCAGTGATTGAGTGCCTGATCGCAATTAGAGCGGAGTCGGCGGCTTCCTCGGGCTGGGCTGCCTTTCTGCTTGACGAGGCAGGCAAGGGTGCTTCCAGTATAGCGCCGCGATTTTGCCTGTCAGGTCCTCACGGTAGAAAACATGGCGCTCATGTCGCTCATTGCCGAGTGGACCTGCAGCGTGGGCCGGTACATTCACAGCTGGGACGGCATGGGCCAGGGACGGCAGCCCAACCGCCAGAATGTTGTGAGTCACTTGGCACACTTGGGTCGGAACATGAAGATCCTTCGGCAGGCGCGGCCACATGCAATTCCCTCTGGCCACCGTAGCTTTGAGCTGAGCAAGCGCTCTCTGCTGCTTACAGGACCTCCGCCGACTGTTTGAGCACACGGACGGGGCGAACAACCCCCGGAAGCCACTTGTTCTCTGCCCGAGCTACAGCAAGTCCTTCCCTAGCATTGTGTTGGCGTCCCTGCAAAGTAGCCTGGCGCCCAGCTTTCTATTCTTTCTTGCGGCGCGCTCGTGACTGCTAGCGTGGCAAGGAAGCACAGGGCCAGAGGTAGTTGTCGGTGGTGGAAAGACATTGTTCCAGCGCAAAGGCGGGGTAATTGCGCTTGCCCGCGTGAGCGCTTGTTGGGTGGCGGACTGCCGGTGTTGCGCCAGGCGTCTCATCCGAGCAGTGGAATAAAATGCTGGCGTGTCACTTGGGCACGATCCAAAACTTAAGCAAGCTGTACTTGACAGGCTTGGCCTCGGAGCAGCAAGCTGGGATAGGAGAGTGCTTCTCGGCGTTCGACATAGACGGCAGCAACGTGGAGAGCTCAGTTTTGAGCTGCTGGCTTGTTTTAAGGCACGTGGGCTGCACCGCAAGTGTTACGAAAACATTTCAGAACACTTCAGAACACTTCACAGCCAGGCCAAGATTGCTGAAGCCACTGGCGCGAGTTGTGCAGTGCGAGGCTTTGGCCACGGATGGTGTCTGGAGTAATTGAGCACCTTTTTGATCAGGCCGCTGACCTGGCTTCAGAGCTAGGGCACGTGAAGAAGACGTGCCAGCAGCTCATCAAGCCATGTGCTCGGCGCACCAGGCGTCGCCGCAGGTAGCACTGTGGCTCTTTTGCAAGGTCTGGCCTGACCGCCCCATCTGCGTATTGGCCAGCTGCCATGAAGCACTGGCAAAAGCGCCTCCCCAATTTGGAGAAGGCTGCGCTGGCCTCAGACCATTGCAGATTTGGTCGGCATGAATGGCAACTTCAGGTGGAATTGCTTTTGGTGATCATGGACAACACAGCCACGGTCGAAAAGGACTTTGCCGTGATGCGGCTTCTGAAGCACGACCAGAAGGGGTCTGTCAAAGCAGAGTTTCTGAAGAACGCATTGAAGGCGAGGCAGGACACCCCCGATGACTCCACTTTCAGCTCCTTTGTGCATGGGCGCTATGTTCTGGGCAGCTTCGGCCTCCAGGTGAGTGCCAAGTACAGAAGTCTTTTTGGCGGGAGCAGCAATGGCCCGCAGTCTGACTTGCCCCGGCGGCAGATGCGACCGCGCACGCGCGGAACCGGGATGGCAGCGCTCCTGCGAAGCAAGGAGGAGCAAAAGACCCGCTTGGGCCATCCGGAGGACCAGGCCGACGACTTGTCTGCCTTGACCGCTGCAGAGGCTGAGCGCCGTGTGACTGTGCGGCAGAAGCACTTAGCAGAGTCCCTGAAGGTCGCGGCTGACCGCAAGCGACAGCTTGTGGACAATTTCGAAGCTGAAGCGCAAAAGAAATTGAAGGAGCATCTGAAGAGCGAGCAAAAACTGCTCCAGGTCATACAGTCAATGGAAAGGAGAGACCTGCAGCGAGCCCCTGAAGTTGCACCTAACGCCGACATTCTGGTGATCCTTGTGGAAGGCGCCCCGGCAGGAGCAGATGGTGCAAACAACTTGGGCGCCAGCCAGTGCCACAGTTTGGCCGACGCCAGCCGCATGCTGGCAAGGCTTGGGCTCACCCATGTCGTGAACACCTCCCACGCCAAGCTTGCCAAGATGGCAGTGGAAGCCAGGGACGTGTGGTGGGTGGCGTGCAACCCCATGGGTGAGCGCATGCTTTTGCCAAATGAGAAAGAGAAAGGGCTTGGCCTCCTGAGCGGTGTGTGTCGCCTCTTGGGCGGTCACCTGGCTACTGCTGAGTGGTTGACCCATTGTGTAGAATCTAATCGCGTGGTCCAGCCCCTGATGAAGGTCCAGCGAGCAGTGTCCACCCCGCAAGAGGTCTGCTTTCACAAGTCCTTGCCTTTCCGGGAAGGTCTTCTGAAGACCGTTGCAGCTTGTGAGAGCCGTCTTGCTGGTGACTGCGCGTGGGTCGTGAGACACAAGCCCATGGAAGTGCGCTTGCCTGAGCTTGTGAAAATGTCACTTATCTCTGGCATTTCTCCTGACTGCTGCACAGTCGGCCAAGGACCCGCAAGACTGCCTGGATTGTGGTGGCGGACGGCTACAATGATAAATCGACGGTAAGCAAGGCAAGAAAGAAGGGCATGCGGGGCAAATTTATTGGCTACAAGACCTTTGTCAGTCTCATTTCCAAGCGTGAGGCTCAGCTTGCTTTTGCAGTGTGGCCACAGAAGATTTAAAAGTGTATTTTCAGGTGGTGCTGACAGTGCATGCCGGGGCTCTTCTCCAACTTGAGCAGCTTCTTCAAGTCTTGATAAGTGTCGTGCAGGCACGGGCACACTCGGGTGTGCGAGTCAAGGGCTGGGCCTTTCATTCCCTCAACCCTGCGTGACGCGCTAGGTGTGGGCTCTTTGCTGTGGCAACCTTCTTGCGAATCCCTAGCTACACTTGCCTGGGCCTTAGGGGCGTCAGTGGTCTGAAGAAATGATGCGTTCAGTGTTGTCGTCACTTGATGAACATGTCGCTTGGCAAACTGCGCCGACTGCTTGCTCTGGAGCACAGCTTTTGTGACACAGCCTTTGTGCGGTGGGCATGAAGCCTGATGGCATGCTACGCTACCCAGGCAACACCGTGTGAAAATCTCTTTGCTTGCTTGCCGCGGCCGATTTGCATGCCCCTTGGGCGCCTGCTGTCAGGATTGACAGGCGCGGTCTCGCGACCAGTGGGAAGCAGTGGCTGCCCTCTTAGAACCTGGCCCACAGCTACTCGCTGCTGCCAAGGCGTTTAACACCCCCAAACGAAATTGTGACCAAGCCGGTTTCAGCCTTTTACCGGAAACCCCGGCAACCTGCTAAAACGAACGGTCCCGCATACTGGCGGCCACCATTGGCACGTGTTATGTCCCAGGTCGAACACTGCATGGGCACCAAGTTCGAAGGTTGGGCACTCAGCACAAGTCCAGTGCGGGTCCTTGACGCCATACAGTTTATTTCCACCAGCTGGCGCCTATCAGAGAGCAGCCCGCCGACGCCTGAGGCGTGCCTGTCGAGCATGTGCGACAGTGATGCGTGCTCTCAGGGGTGACATAGCTTTTTTTGGCACACGTCCTCAGTGCGTGGGACGGTGTGTTGCGCAGTGGGGGAACTGCACATGGGAAAGGCGATGGCTGCTTGAGTCTAAAAAAGGCAGTGCTGTATTCTTGTTGGCTGCCTACACTGGAAGTCAGCAGCAACATTTGTCACAGACCTAAGTGGAAAGGGGGGCATGCCATGCCGGCGGGCCGCCAAAGCCTGACGCACTAAAGACCAGGAACATGAAACATTGACAATTAGTGGCAGCTCGGCTGCAAACGACCGAATGTACTTTGCGTGCCTCGTCCCGCGGGATTTGGGCTCGGAGCGGAGATCGGTCTACAATCTTGCCCGAGCAACAGTTGGCAGTCTCCAACACCATGGCGCCAAAAAGGGCACCTCCTCAGGACCTACCATCAGAAGCAGCCGACGCTGCTCTACGACAGCCAGATGCTGCCAAAGTACAGGCGGCACTTGCGCAGCTGCGTGCCAAGGTTCCTTTGGGGGGACTACGGTGGGGCTTGGTGGCAGCCCGCGGCTCGAAGCCACCAGACGTGCGATCAGAATATCCTCTTCTGGGCCGGGTCTTGACTGCCTTCTTCAAAAGCGCCCACCCGTGAGAGCCTAAGCCAATCGGTCGGAGCCACGCATCGGTCGGAATGATAAAAGCTAGAGGGGCTTGTGGCGTGCAGTCGCTGCTTGCGCAGGTCTGCGTACTTCAACCAGGTCCACATGAAACCTCACACCGCCTTCTGGCAGCATGAGCCTATCGTCCACGCAGAGAAGAGCATCGTCCCGTTTTTGTTTTGCGCCTTGGGGCGCGACACCGAGCCGCCAGGCGGGTCCAGAAGTCGTGGATTTTTTCTGCCCTGCGGATCCCTGAGTAGGTCTACAAGAGCAGCTGCAACTGTAGAAGCACACGTGAAGTCTAAAAGTGTCAATTAGAGGCCGTGCGCTGCGAGGTTCGCGACCGACTGTAAGCTTGCCGAGGCCCCATGCTGTATCGATGTCAACAGGGGCTGCCAAGTGCGACATCAGCGCATTCGTCGCTAGGTAGGGCGCAGACGTAGACTCGGCAGGGGAGCGCGCGCTATGCCGTCACGCAGTGGGTAGTTTGTGGCGCGCGCGTGGGGAATTTCACACGATAAGCCCATGGCTTCGCGTAACTCTTTGCAGGCGGGCTATGAAACTGAGGGGTGACTGTGTGTGCGTACGCGCGTGTCACTGCGCCAGTGGGGGGGGGGGGCGGCTCAGAGTGACTTGCGCAGCGGGCTCTGAGGTGCCAATCCTGCTAGCCCGCGGTTAACCTCTACAGTTCCCGGTAGTTGCTGTGTCGCTC